GGAGGGTAAGGAGAGAGAGAGAGAGAGAGAGAGAGGAGAGAGAGAGAGAGTCAGTCTTATCACTTCACGAAGATTTCTTTCTTACATTCATGCGGCTCATTCGGGCACTTTTCATCTTCTCCTTCACCTTGTCCGTGCCCGTTCGATTTAAAATAATGTTTTAATCCATGATCAATTCCCTCCCGAGAATTTTGTATGTCGTTATCATGTTGCATCAGTTTCTTGATCTCGTCTAGTGAAGCGAGTAGTTCATTTAGTCTCTCCTTGAAACTCATTCCTCAGAACCTCTGGGTTATCTCCATCTTCGTTTGGTGTTTGATGTGTGTGTGTGTGTGTGTGTGTGTGTGTGTGTGTGTGTGTGTGTGTGTGTGTGTGTGTGTGTGATGACACCACACACACACACTCTGCATTTCCCAGAATAACAACTTATTAAAATTTTTATATAAACAGTTCTTATGTTTATAAAATATGAACAATAAGTAATTTGCAACTCATAAGGGTTCAAGACAGACTGAACCATCCTCCTCAGGTACTTGTGTCATGGGTTGAGTCAGTTAGGATATTGTAACTTAGTCTTCTGCAGCTGTTATGCGGTCCGACCTCGCACACGCCGCTGATGATATCAGGTAGATGTGGTGCTTTACCGTCAATACATAAAGTTGTGGCATTTTTGGAAGTCGTTCAACTGGAGTATGTGAATTGTGTGAGGCTTCGACCTTCCGTCTTATATTTACGGCGATTTTACACCCACGTTGATGGCCACATTTAATGCCGTTATTGTCTCAACAAAAGTCAGCTATTTATTACCGTCAGGATCTCAAACAAAAGCAGCAGCTTTCCTTGCTATTTTGACCGACACACACGCTTCATATTTATTATATTTTATATCATTCATTTATTTTTTTATTGGTCAGTGCAGCAAACTAGTATAAGATTTTTTTCAACCTGGTTTTTGTATTTTTATGTATTTGGCTCTTATAAAAGAACATTGTGGGCCTTTCATCTATATTAATGAAAGTGAATGTCTGTCTGTCTGATTGTCTGTGCGAGGAGCCGGTCGGCCGAGCGGACAGCACGCTGGACTTGTGATCCTGTGGTCCCGGGTTCAATCCCAGGCGCCGGCGAGAAACAATGGGCAGAGTTTCTTTCACCCTATGCCCCTGTTACCTAGCAGTAAAAAGGTACCTGGGTGTTAGTCAGCTGTCACGGGCTGCTTCCTGGGGGTGGAGGCCTGGTCGAGGACCGGGCTGCGGGGACACTAAAAATCCCCGAAATCATCTCAAGATAACCTCAAGAAGGTTGGAGGCCAGAAGCGTAGAGGTAACTTCATTAAATTTGTCAAGATGACACCTGGGTGGTATGTGACTGTCATAAGCTCTCTTCGGAGTTGACTACATTGCACCGTATTTAAGAAATATTGACTTCTACGATTTTGATGAAGTCTGAAATCGTATATTTATTTTCCGTAGAGTTGGGCAATTTGTTTTTCATCTTTTAGCCCATCTTCCCGTTTTGGTATAGTACTTATAGAAACGATGAGGAACATAGTACATATACCGACGTACAACGCAATTAGACAGTAGAAATCGGTACTATTGAATTTGGACAAGGTGGAAAAGCTCTTGTATTTAAGTGACAAAGACAAACTAACCTAACCTAACCTTCCTAGGTCTATTACACGATATCTGAGGCTTAATAGTGTCCATATGTGTGCTATACTAGGCCTAAGAATATTTATGTACAGAGTATAGAGAACTGGTTCACCACTACAATTTTGTCCCCATTGCTTCTGAGACACTCGGAGCCTGGGGTAAGAGTGCCACCAGTTTTTTGAAGGACCTGGGTTCTAGGCTAATTGAAATAACAAAGAGACCCTAGAGTTGCCAGCTTCCTTTTCCAGCGCCTCAGCGTGGCGATACAGAGGGGAAATGCTCACTGCATACAGGGTTCCTGCCCGCCATCTGAGGAGCTGGAGGCACTCGACAACTTATGATAATAATCTTTGTACCCTATATCCCTGGAAACACAAACCGAAACTGTCTCTATTTTCCGCTTGTTACAACTTGTAATAAAGTTGTTACATCTTGGCTTAACGTGTTTATGACGTATTAGAACGTTGTTACAACTTGCTATAATGGTTGTTATAACTGGTTAGGAGGTGTTAAAACTTGTTCGAACGTTGTACCAACGTCGTAGTTTCGGTGTGTGTTTGGCGGGATATGTAACTCCTTTTTTTGTAACACAGTTTTTATAATATATATAATATATATATTATATATATATATATATATATATATATATTATATATATAATATATATATATATATGTATATATATATATATATATATATATATATGTATATATATATATATATATATATATATATATATATATATATATATATATATATATATATATACTATAATCCTGATATTCAATTTCCTTTAACTTATTTCTGTTTCCTTGTTGGTGAAGGTTCAGATAACGCAATAAGCCTGAGGGGAATTGGCTCTGAAATTAGTAGTTTCAGAGGGCGAGAGAGAGAGAGAGAGAGAGAGGGGTCCAGAGAATGGTAAGGTCCAGTTACCCCAGTTTTTCCTCTTAGATCAAGCCCCTCAGCTCAGGAGCGAGGCTTGTTGGCTGTGACACAGGTGGCACACATGTGGTTCCGTCCCAGTGGGGCGACACTCTCATTGTGCGAAGGGTTAGGGGAGAGGATAGGGATGGAGAGTGGAAGGGTGGGGATGAACCGTGCTGGCGGAGAGAAGAAAGAGAACATGAAAAGAAACCGCGTGGTGGTAATAGGGAGAGAGAGAGAGAGAGAGAGAGGAGAGAGAGAGAGAGAGAGAGCATAGAGAGAGAGAGAGAGAGAGAGAGAGAGAGAGAGAGAGAGAGAGAGAGAGAGAGAGAGAGAGAGAGAGAGAGAGAGGTCAGGTATGGGGTAGACGCAAGCGCAACACAAGGGAGAAGTCATCACTAAACACTAAGGGCTCTAAACACTATATAAACACTATAAAAACTCTCCCTTCTTACCTGTCCCCACCAACTGTCTATTACAACACCTACCTCTTAAATGTCGTAATTTGCCTGTCTGATGTACACAGTTTCCTTCTCTTAGGTATATGGTTAACGACATAAAAAATACTCACGGAGGGATATGATCAAAGCAATCATGGGAGCCGTATCTCTCTACAGTGACGTCAAGCTAACCCGTGTATCTAAGTGTCGGGCCAAGACGCAGGTCTTTATAAATACCTAAGTAGCACCCATTCACCGGCTGGAGTTAAACATGCTTCATCACATATTTACTCCCGAACAACTTCAGAATGCACTACTTGCTCTTTGTGATCGTTCCTTCCAGCATCGGTAAATCCCTCTCCGACGGTAAATCTCCCCCCCCCCCTATTGCACAATAAATCCCCCTCCCTCACAAATCCCCTCCCTTCCTCTTACCTTGCTAGCCGCAGCAAATCCGTCTATCGTTGGGAAAATATATCACTTTCAGATATATCATATAGCTGGCTCTTGAGAGTGTCAGTATTACACAGCTGGCTATTGAGAGTCTCAGTATCACACATCTGGCTCTTAACAGTCTCAGTATCACACAGCTGGCTCTTGAGAGTGTCAGTATTACACATCTGGCTCTTAAGAGTCTCAGTACCACACAGCTGGCTCTTGAAAGTCTCAGTACCACACAGCTGGCTCTTGAGAGTCTCAATATCACACAGCTGACTCTTGAGAGTCTCAATATCACACAGCTGACTCTTGAGAGTCTCAATATCACACAGCTGGCTCTTGAGAGTCTCAGTACCACACAGCTGGCTCTTGAGAGTATCAGTATCACACAGCTGGCTCTTAAGAGTCTCAGCATCACATAGGGATCAGGGATAGGAGGTAAGGGACGGGCAGAAAATCAGGGGATAACATCGAGTCTCCTATGTGTTCCAACCATCGCTCTTATGTCAATTATCTCATCCCTCCATTCCTTTTTCTTCCTCCTCCTTCTTCCTACCTCTTCCCCTCACACCTCCCCTCTCTCACCTCTCCCTCCCCTCGCTCTCACCTGCCTCACTGAAACATTCATCGTTGGCTGTGTGCTCCGTCACACAGGTTCTCTCCTCTCAAACCTTTCTCTGTTGTTCCTTCCCTACCCTCCCCCTCCCTCGCTCCTCTTCCCTCACCCCCCTCTCACTTGAGAGGGAGGGTGGTTCTCCCCTCGCGACCCCCCAACACAGCAGATACCCCCCCCCCACTCCTTCTCCTCCCCCCACTCCTCCTCCCCCCACTCCTTCTCCTCCCCCCACAAAGGATTATCCCCACCAAGGAGATAAAAAGACTGATAATGTAGATTGTCTGTCGGTCTGCCGTGTGGGTATTGTCGCGGAGATTACCCGCGGGATTTATCGAGCGACTGCTGCTCCCCCCCTCGGGGATTAGTCACGGGGGATTACACTAATTTGGTCGCCATATTTATGAAGTTGTTGTTGTGTTACGATGATTGTTTTTGTGTGATGCTGCACGCTGGTGTGTGTGTGTGTGTGTGTGTGTGTGTGTGTGTGTGTGTTGTGTGTGTGTGTGTGTGTGTGTGTGTGTGTGTGTGTGGTGTGTGTGTGAGTGCGAGTGTGAGTGTGTGTGTGTGTGTGTGGTGTGTGTGTGTGTGTGTGTGTGAGTGTGAGTGCGAGTGTGAGTGTGAGTGTGAGTGTGTGTGTGTGTGTGTGTGTGTGTGTGTGTGTGTGTGTGTGTGTGTGTGTGTGTGTGAGTGTACGCGCCAATTTACCTATTTGTGCCTACAGGATCAAGCTTTGAAGGTGTATTATTTAATACGAAAGTACTTAAGGAAATTCCTGTGTGTGTGTGTGAGTGTACGCGCCAATTTACCTATTTGTGCCTACAGGATCAAGCTTTAGCTCCTGGCCGCCCCCACCACACATGATCTGAGCATCAAGACGCATCTCCGCCTCAGCCATCTTCACCACCTTCTTGTTTCTTCTTTACAGATGCGTCCGGCACCCCTCCAGACCCCGCCCCTCCTGAGATCCCTGTGAGGGGCCCCTCGCATCACCACCCCCTCCTGGCCGCCTCCCGCAGGGCGGGGGGCGCACCTCCCTCCTCCAACAACACGGCCGTGGCGCCTCCGTCCCCCCACTACCAAGACCACCACCAGGAGGAGACGTATCAGCAACCTAACTCTAACGTCTTTCTCTCGCAGGGTGAGACTCGATCTTCCTTCTTCTCCTCATGCTCCTACTAGGGGGCTCCTGTCTCACACACACACACACACACACACACACACACACACACACACACACACACACACACACACACACAATTTATCGTAAAACACAATTTTACGGTTGAGAGGCGGGACCAAAGAGCCAGAGCTCAACCCCCGCAAACACAACTAGGTGAGTACAACTAGGTGAGTACACACACACACACACACACAGCAGGTAGCAGCCCGTGACAGCTGACTAACTTCCAGGTACCTATTTACGGCTAGGTAACATGAGAAATCAGGGTGAAAGATACTTTGCCCATTGTTTCTCGCCGGCGCCGGGAATCGAACCCGCGATCACAGGATCACGCGCCTAGCGTGCTGTCCAGTCAGCCGCAAGCCCCCACCCCCCCAGTGTGTGTGTGTGTGTGTAAATCACAAAGAAATTAACACGTAATGAACAATGTGACAGTGTCAGACCACGAAGGAAAAATTAAGACAGTAAGTTCTTTAAGTACTATATTTTAAGTTGTCAGAAGATGTTAATAATAATCCATCTTCAGAAGGATGTACTACAACCCACGGTTCAGTGGGTTGAATACATAAGCAGAAAGGAGGTGAGCTAAGGTAAGGCACAATGTCTTTAATTAAATAATGGAATATTAACAAGGGATTAGTAAGATAAATGTGTATCAATGATCCTATTCAAATCGTCTTTTAACTGATCAATCAAAAATGGATCTAAATTATACAAACCACTGCTAATGTTCAAATTACATGATTTTGTAATCTGTTTTAAAGCAGATTCAATTATGTTCCTATTGAAAATGCTTTTACAATTTGTTATTGAGTTTGTCAGAAAGTTGTCACCAAATTGATTGGGAGAGGACTTCTTCAATAACGAATTGTAAAAGCATTAAAGACATTGTACCTCACCTCACCTTTCTCATGCCAATATATCCAACCCCTTGAACTACAAATCCATCCTTTTGAAGGTGTATTATTTAATACGAAAGTACTTAAGGAAATTCCTGTCTTAATCCTTCCTTCGTGGTCTGACACTATCACACTCACACACACACACACACACACACACACACACACACACACACACACACACACACACCACACACACACACCACACACACACACACATATATGTATATATATATATATATATATATATATATATATATATATATATATATATATATATATATATACAAAAAAAAGAATAGGAGTGGTAGAAGAAAATATTAAAGTGTTTAGTGAGGATCCACAAGGTCTTCTCTGAGTACTCTTTATTTTCTTCTCCGAGGCTATGGGTTCCTACAGTTCTACTGGAGGTGGTATATATATAAGTAAATAAGTAAATAAATAATATATATATATATATATATATATATATATATATATATATATATATATATGAACATATATATATATGGAGGTGGTTATATATAAGTAAATAAGTAAATAAATAATATATATATATATATATATATATATATATATATATATATATATAATATATATATATATATATATATATATATATATGCGGAAAATCCACAGAGAAATATGAAATGAGGTGAACGTTTCGGCTTGTTAAAGCCTTTGTCAACACCAGACTGACCAGTCAGTCTGGTGTTTGACAAAGGCTTTAACAAGCCGAAACGTTCACCTCATTTCATATTTCTCTGTGGATTTTCCGCATAAAATGATCAGTGTTTTGTGATCGTCAATTGCATATATATATATATATATATATATATATATATATATATATATATATATATACAGTGTCCTGGTTTTGGTTTCAGTCCTATTGATTATACTGTAATGTTAGCTGCAGTTGTCTTGAAATATGTGAGTGGTGAGAAGGTGGTGCAGGTGGTCAGGGACACATCTCTGTAATGTTGCAACCTCACCAAAATATTACGCACAGTTCGCACTATTAAAAGTTCCTTACCCGTTTGTGCCAGAATAAAACGCTGAAAATTTTATTCCGTCTGATATCTCGTTAGTCGTAATTAGTCCCCCACGTTCCATTCCCTGTTTTCTTTATAAGTTTTCTCTCTTTTTTTCTTTTCTTTCCCTTTTTTGGCAAAATTCAGATAAGGAAAGGAAAAACAAGATGGAAGGAGGAGAAGATAAGGAGACGAGAGTGACGAAGGCCAGCAGCAACGCAGAAGGAAAAAGTGGGAATGTTGAGCGGAGAAGCAAGAGAGAAGAGAGAGGGAGCAAGAGCAGGCAGCACAGAGCCAGCCAGACGGTGGACTCAGGCATCCCAGAGGCCTTGGTGCTAGAAGCTGGCAGAGTCTCAGACTCCGGTGGCGACTCAGTGTTCGGACTCAGCAAGTCCTCGGCCCATCCTAGGGATAACGTGTCACCAGAGCCCAAAACCAGCCAGGTGTTACAGCCTAAGGGTAGCCAGCAGTCGGAACTCAAGGCGAGAACTTCTGACGAACCACAGATTACCCCAGCGTCTGAATCCAGGGTTATCAGATCCCCCGACGACTCCAAAAGCCGCTCGGCATCAGAGCTCGAGCGACGTAACACCACTGAAGAAGCCAAAACTTGCAGAGAATCGGGCCATAGAGTTAAAATATTCCCGCAAGACCACAGCGCTTCCAGAACCTCGAAGCATCCCAAGGCTTCTAGAAGCCCAGAAGATCCCAGAACCAGTCAAGCATCAGAGCTCCAGCGTTGCGTGGTTCTAGAGCCTCAACTGGACCGTGGGTCGCACCTCGGGCGCAGCGAACCAACGGCCCCAAGAACCCACCAGCCGCCAGAAGTAGAGACCCTGGTAACGCTGGAAGCCAGACCCAGCACCTCCAGAGCCTCGACAGGTAACACAGCATCTCCAGTTTATACACCTGTAGAGGACGATGTAATCCCTCGCCTGTAGTTCACCACCTAGAGCTCCTTGTGTACCCACGTAAGAGCTCTTTATGAACCCTACGACGGACTCTTTTATGTACCCATGTTGAACCGTATGCACCCCACGTTCAGCTCTATGTGCCCACGCTCAGCGCTTTATGTACCCACGTTGAGCTTACTGTGTACTCCACGTAGAGCTCTTTTTTGTACCTACGTTGAGTTAAACGCACCCTCGTTGATCTCTATGTACCGATGTTGAGCTCTTTGTGTACCCATGTAGAGGTCATTATGTACCCACATAGAGCTCGTTATGTACCCATGGAAGTTCTAATCTACCCACATAGAGAGATCCCCCCATGTATCATCGTTGAGCTCATCATATACCCACCTTGGACTCTATATCCACGTACAGATTTGTATGCACTCACCCAGAGCTCCCCCATGAATCGTCGTAGAGCTGATCATTCACCAACGTTCAGCTCTGCACCCACGTAGAGAGATTCTGGTAATCCTTCGTGTACCCGCGTAGAACTCTTCATGTAGACGCATATTCAGCAGTAGAAAAATTAAGAATTATAATACATTTTAAACTAAACTCAGGAAGTCCGTCCACGGCGGGAGGGCAGTACTGCAGGCAGCAGGTCGTAGCAGCCTGCACTTGGAGAGGTCAGGTCTGGAAGGGCTCTTGATCAAAGAGCACTCCAGGTAAATAATTCCAGACTTGCGCCATGGAAACTCTCTGTGCTGTGAGGGGGGTGGATGACGGGTCGTGAGGGGCCAGGGTTTGGAGTGGTGGATGTGCTTCCTCCTCCCCCCCCCTGGGGTATTGCTTATACCCCAGGGTATAAGGGGGTATTAGGCAATGTTCCCTGGTAATGTTCTAGTAATCCTGCTTCGGTAGCAACACTCCACCATCAGCGTCTTGCATCTTTGTTGATGGATAGTCTTGGTAATCCCAGGCCAGTGTCTTGGTAATCCCAGGCCAGTGTCCTGGTAATCCCAGGCCAGTGTCCTGGTAATCCCAGGTCAGTGTTTTGGTAATCCCAGGGCAGTGTCTTGGTAATCCCAGGCCAGTGTCTTGGTAATCCCAGGCCAGTGTTTTGGTAAACCCAGGGCAGTGTCTTGGTAATCCCAGGCCAGTGTCCTAGTAATCCCAGGCCAGTGTCCTGGTAATCCCAGGCCAGTGCCCTGGTAATCCCAGGAAAGTATTTCGCAGAAGTCTTACAGACTCATGTAAACAGTCATATGTATTTTAATGTAAGTCGTTTTTGTAAATATATGTAAATGGGGGACCCATACAGGTCTGTGTGGCAAGTCTGGTGCGGGGAAGAAAGTGGTCTTTGTGGTGGCAAGTCTGTCGCGGGGAAGAAAGTGGCCTTTGTGGTGGCAAGTCTGTCGCGGGGAAGAAAGTGGTCTTTGTGGTGCCAAGTCTGTCGCGGGGAAGAAAGTGGTCTTTGTGGTGGCAAGTCTGTCGCGGGGAAGAAAGTGGTCTTTGTGGTGGCAAGTCTGTCGCGGGGAAGAAAGTGGTCTTTGTGGTGGCAAGTCTGTCGCCGGGAAGAAAGTGGTCTTTGTGGTGGCAAGTCTGTCGCGGGGAAGAAAGTGGTCTTTGTGGTGGCAAGGCTGTCGCGGGGAAGAAAGTGGCCTTTGTGGTGGCAAGTCTGTCGCGGGGAAGAAAGTGGTCTTTGTGGTGGCAAGGCTGTCGCGGGGAAGAAAGTGGCCTTTGTGGTGGCAAGTCTGTCGCGGGGAAGAAAGTGCCACATGTCCAGCAAAGAAGTGAGTCGGCAGCTGACATGTAGAGAGTTCGATCTACCGTCTATATTTATGTGGTGTGTTGTGTGCGTCGTGGGGGGGGGGGGGAGGTGCCCCAGTGGAGGAAGGGAGGGTCCCTGGGGAGAGGGAGAAGGGGAGGGGAGGGACTGACAAGCATAAGGAAGCAATGGGGCAAGCAAGGAAGGAAAGAAAGATAGAGGAAGAGGACGGGAGGAGGGGAATGGAAGAGACGATGGGAGAGTAAATGCTGAGGAGAAAAGAGGAGAGGTTTGTGAGAAATTGGAGAAAAGAAGAACAGGGAAAATAAGATGAAAAGGGTGTGTGTGGAGATGAATGAAGGAATGAAGAGGGTGGGATGGAAGGAAGAAGGTAGCAAGGAAGGAACAGGGGTGGGAAGGGAAAGGGGCAGGAGGCGACAACTGACAAGATTTAGCGTGGGGGGAGTCCCCCAACCGATGGTCTTAAGGTGGGTATTTAGGCCACGTTAACATACACTTGCTATGCTAATGTGCCGACCAGTAAAGTGTCTCTTACACCCCTCTTCCCCTCAACACTTGACCCCCCTCCCCTTTCTTTGTTCTTAAGTATTTCTCTCCACTATTCTTGTTCTTCTCTGCTTCCCCCCCCTCTCCCTCTGGGGGCCTGATTGTGGTACCTGTAGGCTCTTCTTGCTCCCAGTTGGGCTTCACTGGTTCCCAGTTGGGCTTCACTGGTTCCCAGTTGGGCTTCACTGGTTCCCAGTTGGGCTTCACTGGTTCCCAGTTGGGCTTCACTGGTTCCCAGCTGTGGTTCAGTGGTTCCCAACTGTGCTGGCTACTACTCTGACACTGAAAAAGTTCTTTCTAATGTCTCCATGGCTCATTTGGGTTCTCAATTTCCACCTGTGTTTCCCCTAGTGCGTGTGCCAATAGTATTAAATAAACTGTCTTTATCCACCCTATCAATTCCTCTGAGAATTTTGTGTGTGGTGATCACGTCTCCCCTAACTCTTATGTCTTCCAGCGATGCGAGATTTAGTTCCTGTAGTCTCTCCTCGTTGCTCGTACCTCTCAGCTCCGGTACTAGTCTGGTGGCAAACCTCTGAACCTTTTCTAATTTATTCTTGTGCTTGACGAGATACGGACTCCATGCTGGAGCTGCATACTCCAGGATTAATCTGACGTATGTGGTATACAAGGTTGTAAATGATTCCTTACACAAGTTTCTAAAGGCCGTTTTTATGTTGGCCAACTTGGCATATGCCGCTGATGTGGGCTTCAGGGGACAGGTTTGGATTGATATAAATCTTATGAGAGAGAGATTGATATCTCACTCATGAGATTGATATCTCACTCATGAGATTGATATCTCACTCATGAGATTGATATCTCACTCTCTGATTCTTGAAGAATATCATTTCCCAAATGGTACCTTGTATCTGGCCTCCTGCTCTCTACACCTATTTTCTTTACTTTACATTTGCTCGGGTTAAAATCTAACACTCATTTGTTGTGTGTGTGTGCGTGTGTGTGTCCGTGTGTGTGTGTGTGTGTGTGTGTGTGTGTGTGTGTGTGTGTGTGTGTGTGTGTGTATTCACCTAGTTGTGCTTGCGGGGGTTGAGCTCCGCTCTTTCGGCCCGCCTCTAAACTGTCAATCAATCAACTGTTTCTAAATACTATTTTTTCC